TTTTTAGCAAAAGGGAAGTATATTACTGAATACAGATCAGGTTCATTGGGTTTGTTTCCGTAATGGGCTTTCTCGGCACTACCATGTAATCTTGGCTTTGAAATTAGAGCGAGTGGGCTTCCAACTGCTTGGGTGAGGCCTATTTGAACGTTTGCTAGTTTCATACGTGAAAAATGGGCCTAAGTGTTCCAGTTGAACAAACCCAACTACTAATTGTTTCTTCGCCACTAAAAAAAACTAAATTTCCTAAAAAAAACTAATGGTGTCTCCGTACAACTCTCAACATCAAGCTCGCTTTAGAGGCCTCAATCAACAACACCTAAACCGTCAAACAGCGATCAGCACTCTAAATCATTGGACAATACAATATGATTAATTTATGTCAAAAACCATACAAGACGAGCCATTGCTGTTGTTTAAGTTATCCATAAAGCTTGAGGCATTCAGCAAAAGGTAGTACGTGCATCACATTTCTCACGTCTTTATTGCAACACAAAGGACAGCATTGCTTAGTGGCGAAATGCTAGTAGGCCAACAGTGTCAAAGTACACGCAACTTTCACAGGGATTAACACTATCAATAGCTCATTTGGTATTATAATCACAATTATGGAGCTGGCATTACTTTGTCCCATACAGGCAGAGGAAAGCCAGCCCTAAAGTGTGGAGGGTTGTCACCACCATGTGTCCGGGACCCCGCACTTGTCTACAATACAAGAAGTCGACTAGGTGGGTGGATTGGTCCGAGTGAAGAAAAAAAAAAAAGTCATACAGAACTCAAAATCTTTTCTGGAGATATTCATTTCCTGAGAGAGGCGGATAAGATATTAGGTGGCAGTTTGATACCACCAGAAAGAGAGAAAAAGATTCTAAGAAATAAAAAAAGGAAAAGTTGGGTTTATGTTCAACGGAAAAAAAATTCTCAAAAGCAAGGAAAAGTATTTTGTTTCGATTCACTGGAATAGTTCTAGCAAACTCTGGGCCAGACATTGCTCTACATGATACTTATTATGTGGTTGCACATTTCCATTATATACTTTCTATGGGAGCCGTTTTTACTTTATTTGCTGGATTTTACTATTGGGTGGGTAAAATCTTTGGTCGGACATATTCTGAAACTTTAGGCCAAATCCATTTTTGGATCACTTTTTTCGGGGTTAATCTGACCTTCTTTCCCATGCATTTCTTAGGGCTTTCGGGTATGCCACATCGCATTCCGATCGTTTTTTAATGCAAATAGATTCGATTCAATCTAATAATTTTTTTAGATTAAATCTTAGGTCTCGTTTGACCTGTGAAAGATCTCCTTTGTTGAAATGTTCCCAAAATTCCTAAAATAAAATGAAAAATACTTTCCACTGTAGATCCGACGGCCGTGATTCCATCCCGAATCATCGAGATGCATGGATTCAGAGGTGCATTCTTGCATGCTGGTGGGATCAAATTAATTTGGGGGGTACTGCACGTGTTTTTTTCTACTAACTAGGTAGCGTGTCCGTGCGTTGCTACGGGATAACTAACAATTTATACTAAAAACACATGGATCGCACGATAAGATAATAATACTGTTAAATTAAATACCAACGTTAAAGTGACATTTAATCTAAAAAGCAAAGTTTATGAATTTAACACAGTCACGGAGTGCGCGGCGTCGCAAGCTCACAAACTCTAGAGCTTCTAGAGATTGGGTCGAATCCAACCTAGAGCCTCGGAACCCTACATCTTTTCCTGGACGGGCTTCACTTAGAATGCGCTGGTAGCAATATCAACAATCTCCAGTCGATAGACCAAGTCGTATGGATCCTCATACAATGGCTCAGACATGTAGATTTTGTTCTCCTTATACTTGGATACACTTGTTCCACTGAATCTTTCATTGAAATGTTTAAACACGAACAGTGTCTGATCACCGATGTCCCTCCCCACTCCGGCGTACGGTCGTGGAGGTTGCACTTGTAGATCGCGCTGCTATAGGTGAAACTCTGTGTCTCGTGGAACATGCTCACCATGGCACCCATAATGTGCAGCTCACCGTTTGATTCCAGGTAGCTGCGGTGGCAGAGCCCCGCGGGTGGCGACATCGATGGCAGCAGCATCGCGGTTGGAGTAGCGCCGGCGGCGTTGCTGCTGCAGATGGAGATTTCTCCAGTGCAGTCAATCGCCAAGAACTTATCTTGGCAGTGGACGACGGACCCCACGGAGAACTCCAGTTTGGTGTCGAGCAGCGTCCATGCGCTGTCGACTCCAACCCGGCGGAACGCGACCTCCGTGGAGCACCCAAGCATGGCCATGGCCACGCACTCGCGGCCGGCGGCGTCAGGCGGCGCCAAGAGCACGATATGACAGAAGAACACGTCCCTCATGTCTTCTAGCTTGATGGCTCTGCCTGCGCCATCCGCGTCCCCGTAGCCGTTGGTGGGATGGAGGACCCACCGGTCGTGGACCCTAGACACGCGTTCCGATGAGAACACCGTCGCGACGTGTTCGCCTGCTGGCGGGAGCTCAACGCGGGGGGCACAGGCACCGGCGAATGATTCAGCAGCGTCACGGACGCCGCCTCGTCCATGAGCGCCAGACACCCACACGAGGAGCCGCATGCCACCTTGCCGCGCACGTCGGGCAGCGTCTTGAACAAGACCTTCTTCTCCGGGACGCAGTAGAAGCCGACGCGGTCCGAGTCGGGGTCGAACGGGAGTAGCAGGAGCGGCCCGAAGGTCGCGAACGGGACGGCGGCGCGCCATGGGGAGCAAGCGGATCGGAAGGACGCCGCGTCGTGGCCTGACGCGAGACGCTGCCCGATGGACTCGAGGAGATCCTCTGGCAGGCCAAATCTCCAGTCAGGGAGAGGTAGGGACCTTCTCTTGGGATTGGGAGGCTGAGCCATGGAAGACAGATGACATCAATTATGGTTCACGCAAGAAACAGCAAGCGATGACGATGGAACACGTGAGCGTGAAACCAAATGAAAGGAGGAAAAAGCTGTCCTTTTGCAAATACAAAGAGGGAAAGTAATTAAATGTAGGCAAATTTGGTAAGGTTCTCAGAAATGCAAAGATGTTCCATTTGTCTTAATTCTCTTTCCTTTTGCTCGTTGTCATGTATGCTGGTGCATGCAAACATGCAATGTGTATATGGATAGCACAATAATTTTCTACTTCCTATTTTACCATGATTCCTCTATCACATGACAGACAATATTCAATCAAGAAGATGTCGTGGGATCGCAGAGACAGACGAACCAAAACAAATGTCGCACTAAAAAATATCCACATTTTGTTCTTTTTAGTTGTAGGAAATTGTTTATGTGTCTTAATAGCATGGTGTCAGTTACTCGGTTGCTTTTGTGATGTAGTGTTAGCTTCTGTTGAGCCGCCATTTGGAGGTGGGAGTCACAATCCTATCTCATCAGCTTCATAGTGGTTCCTAGATGAAGCCCACGTATACGGTTTGTTTAAAAAAGAGATGAAGCCCATGGAATACACATGGTCATCCAGGGTTAATCTTGACACTTTAGTCGCAAGCTTTTGGTAATGACATGTTTCGAGAATATATGTTTCCGTTAGCATCATCTTTGGTGGAACAGGGGAACACGACAATTGGCTGGTTAAATGGCAATTTACATGCGAAGTGAGCGTTTGGTCAGGTTTGTTTTGGTAGAACCTATCCATCTCATTTGGTTGCAAGTCCTTCATTGGAATGAGTGTTCACATTCCTCTGGATTTTTTAGTGGCGCTCTTATTTCAGTGATAAGTGATTTGCCCGTTGATAGCGAGAAGCCCATAGTAACAATCTCGAGATTACCGCCTCAATCTTTCGAAGATGTTTATGTGGGTAGGGTTTGAGTGCGTGTGTGCATAGAGGGTGAGTATGTACCATGTAATTTGAAAAAAAGTGTGCCTCGTGGTAACAATCTTGAGATTTGCTAGCTCACTTTTTCGGAGGGTGTGAGTATATGCGTACGTGTTTTTGGGTGTCTGCATCGGTATTGTGCGCCCACTTTAATGTCTACGTGTTTGTGAGTGTCTATATTTGTATTGTACAATTCATAAAAAAAATGCATATGCCTTTGTATGTGTCTGTACCGTGTAATTCGTCAAGAAACAATCCAATTGGCATTGGCATGGTGTACTAAGTGTAGTATTATCCTTGTTAGATGCTCAGCCAGTAAGTACTAACATGTACGAGACAGCTTATGAGAAAAAAATACCACTAACATAACATGAAACAAATTAAAATGCTGAGGAACTTGATCATTCACCAATGGATGTATCGGAAGGTGCAACATTTGTAGGGTCAAACAGTTTGAACCCCCTGATCTTCGGCCACTTGTGCGTACCACGATCTACCGCGATCGAAAACACGGATTGTTTTATCACCATGGGCGTAGCAAATTCAATGAACGCCTTGAGAGAGTAGTGTTGACGTCAAAGTAACCAAAAGAGAACACATCTCAAAACCAAGAAATATTGGGACGATCTAAGGCTGGGTCACCCAATGCCAGCTCATCTTTTCATACGGATTATTGTGAGATCTCAATGTGGTTGCACACAGTCCGACCTGTATGGGCGCAAGAGCTCTCTCTGAGTTTTTTTGTACGGACCAATGGATGTACATTTGCATGTATGCATCCCTTACGTACCCCGTAATCCTGCTTCCTGCTTGAACTGAGTTCTTTACACTATCGCTAGCAGTATACATATGCTTAGTTTCCCCCAGATAACCAACATACTGTAATGATGGTGGGATTAGAAGTTAAGTTACTAATGTCTATAAAATAGGCACTTGTACCGTGCACGCTTTACTTTGTTCATTTTTTGCACAATAGTATATCCCAAGTTGTTTAACATGTTCAGCTTAGCTTCATAGCCTGCACTGTATATAAAAACCAGTGCCACCCAGCCATGCCAAACAGCCCAGGGGCAGGCAGGCAGAGAGCTCTCACTTCTCAGAACAAAGCAAGCAACCAAACCAACTGCAGAGAGAGCCTAGCAACTTCAGGGGATGGGCAACAGCCTGCGGTGCTGCCTGGCCTGCGTGCTCCCCTGCGGCTCCTTCGACGTGATCCGGATCGTCCACCTCAGCGGCCACATCGAGGAGTACACCCGCCCGGTCACCGCCGGCGAGGTCATCGTGGCGCACCCTAACCACGTCCTCAGCAGGCCGTGCTCCCAGGGCGGCGCGCGGCGGATCCTGATCGTTGCCCCGGACTCGGAGCTGAAGCGAGGGTACTTCTACTTCCTGGTGCCGGCCTCGTCGGTGCCCGAGAAGAAGAGGAGGCCGCAGCAGAAAAAGGCGCGGTCGCTGAAGACGACCGCGCCGCCGAGCGCTGCTGTTGCTAAGGAGGCCAAGGACAATGGTGACAGGTACCTGGCGGAGGTGCTGTCGGAGGGCAAGGCCAGCCTCAAGCGCCGCCGGAGCAGCCGTTCCACGGTGTGGCGGCCACACCTTCACAGCATCCTGGAAGAGACTGCTAATGACTCGTGAGGTCTAAGTCTCACATCTCTTCGTGCTTTCAGCTCACGTAGCTGTTTCTGTTTCCTCCTCTCTATCTTGTGTAAATAGTTATGGACGTAATAGTCATGGTGGTTGTGCATGGTGTGCACCATGGACGTCTGATCCTTGAGTTTTAGCTGAGAGGCAACCCCTTTTGCCTCTCTGATTTTCTCCTCCTGCTAGATTTTTCGCTCTCACTCCCGGTTCAAGCTTTGAAGCTGGTGAGAGTTACCGAATAGTCTGTGAAGGAGAAACAACCAAACAGTACGCTTATTGAAATGGAATGAGTGTTTTGAACTTGAAATCTTCAGTACAGGCATCCATGTTTTGTGTTTGTTCTCAATCATCTTGTGCCAAAAACTGGACTACTATATTCATCCAAAACCCAGAAAGAAAAATAATGTTGCAGATCACGTTTAGTTTTGATGATGATCTTATACATAATATGAGACAGGATTTCCTGTCAACGTAGCACGAGGGAGATATATATGAATCCAACTTCCAATCAGGTCTTAATGCAAAGGTTTAATTTGTTTTGAGAGTTTGATAGCAGTTTAAACCACTTTAAAATTATTTAGACAGGAGTAAGGAGGTTCAAACAAATATGTTTCAGAAACAGTTTACATCAAAGGTGGGGACACACTGACGACATTTGTAATGTTAGAAAAGGAGTGCAATTCAACAATGATATAGACGAAACTCGTGCGATAACTCAAAAGAAGCAGCAAATTACGCTTCTACTGTCATTTCAGAACAGAGTTGGCAGGTAAAAAATAGTACTTGCCAAATGAATGGAGGCTAAAAAAATGGACAGTAAACAAGCCTGCAAAAATGATTCAGTTGCTCATGGACAATAGTGGCACTCACCAATACCTTTGCTTCGAAGTTAGTCTGCAATATGTTCCTCATCTCGTCATGTAACTACAAGAATCGATCATCAAAACTATAGAAACACGCCAAAATCCTGTGTTAAATCCAGTTGGGACACACACCAAAATCCCCCATATGTAGGTTTACGATTCAAGATGCCGTCAGTTATGAATTATGAACTAATCACCACCATTGATGCACAAGCACGCCGCTGTCCCTGAGCGAGGTGAACAGCTCTAGGCACTCGCCATACGTGTTCTGGTACTTGGGCGACCGCCCACCAGGGCAGCACCTCTGCCACCGATTGTAATGGCACTCGAGGAACAGCTCGTCGACGAGGCAGATCGCCCCGGTGTCGAGCATCATCGGGATGAGGTCGAACTCGGTGCCCTCCACGTCCATCTTCATCACCACGAAGTCCTGTTCCGACACCGTCCGCTTCAGCCACTCGGCGAGGTCGAACGCCGGGACGCGCCGCAACTCGCCTGACGACACCCCGTTGGTCGCCCCGGCCGCGGTCCTGATGCGGCCCATGCCACGGCCGTTCGGCTTTCTGGAGTTACTGTTGGCGCCCTTCTTCTTGCCGGCCGGGCCACCGTTGATCTCGAACATGAGCGTCTCGTTCCGGACCCAGGCGGCGTAGGGCAGCAAGGTGACGCCTTTCTTGGTGGCGTACTCTGCATGGAACGCAGGGTCGGCCTCAACGGCGAAGACCTTGAAGGTGTGGTTCTGCTTTGGGTACTGATTCCGGAACCGGCTGCCGATGCTGGAGCCGTGGCTCCGGGTGCCCACGTCGACTTACACGTACCGGCGCTTGAAGCCGATGTCGGCGAGCGCTGGCAGGTACTTGATGTTTCTCTTCAGCGAGATCCATGGCTTCGCCGGCTCTTCTTGGATCAGCGGCTCGGTGAGGTCGATGATTCGGTGCTGGTGGTCGCGATACGTGCAGTTGCTCGCGGGATTGTTGCCGTTGAGGGAGGAGGAGGACGTGCTGCTGCTGGTGGTGGAGGAAATGCCTGCATGCTTCCGGAAGACCAGCTCCCGGAGGGTGGAGCCATCCCGGCCGTTGGTCTCGCGCGATCGGAGTAATCCGAGGGACGGGAAAAGAGACTGGAGGGACCGGAGGCTGTAGGCGTCGCTGGCGCCGGACGTGAGGACAACGAGGTGGCCGTCCGGCTTCATAATCCGTGCCGCCTCGGTGGCGAGGTCGGCCTGGCGTTTGGAGGAGTCTAGGGCGCGTCCGGCGAAGATGAAGTCGACGGAGGAGTCCGGGAACGGGAGTTGGTGGTCGCTTCCGGCTACGGTGAGGGGCGGGGACCGCTTCTTGGCGACTGCGACGGCGCCGAACACGCCGAGCTCCCGCAGCGCCATCGCCTCCTGGGCACCGCCGAGGCAGACGGCGTGGGAGGACGCGGAGAGCATGCCATCCGCGAGGTGTCTTCGGAGGACGGCGGCATGGTGGTCTACCGCTTGTCTCCATTCGCGGCTGCGCCACGCGTCCGGCGACCTGACGGCCGCCTGGGCGTGAGTCCTTCTCCCGGCCACGGCGGCCCGAACGGCGGGGTCTGCTGCCCTTCCGCCACCGCCCACGACGGCGAATTCCACCCATAGGAGACAGAGCCCGAGCGCGCCGATGGCGAGGAGCATAATGGCGCGCGGGAGTGCCACCCGCCCCGTCGGGTTCATGCCACACCGCGTCCTGCGCGCGAGGCAGACGACGGCCAATTAGGCCTGATTTCAGCGGAAGCAGGGTCAATTGCGCGAGGAGGGGCGATTCAACGGGAGCAGAAGCGATCGGCGGTGCGGCTGCCGAAGACGATGAGGCGTACGGGCTTGGGATACTGGAGGACGGGAGAGGCGTATGTGCAAAGTGCCATGTCCAAATGGCAAATGGGTGGGTTGCGATCTTATTTGCGGGCTGCATTGTCTGCTGCTTCCATGGGAACCGGAGCTTGAAGACGCGGAACTGAAGAGAGGAGAAGATCGGTTAGCTCTGCGGTAGTGAAAGCGATAATTCTGAACCGCTCTATATTGTGAAGTTTGGATGTTGAAGGATCCATTAGGCCTACAATGCAAAGATGCCTGAACAGACTCTTGAAAAACAGAGGATAATTTGTTTTTTCTATAAGAGTCTTAATCTACAATGGAGTAAATTAATTTCTGATGCTAATCTAGGCTATAACTGTCAATTTCCATACTTAATTAAGCAGAGGCGCCCAACGGTTTAACTGAGGCCCTGTTTGGGTCATAAACTTTTGACCACTTTAACTTTTAATTTAACTTTTAAGACTCTAAACAAAAAGTCTAAAGTTCTCTCTAAAATTTAGCCAACCCCATGAAAACTTTAAGCTTCATAATAAGTGAGCTAAAATTATCTAAAGTTTTAGTCCTCAACTTTAGCTAACTAAACTTTAGAAAAAATAAAATCTAAATAAGCCCTTAGCAGCGGGCGCAACAAGCGCTCTATCAACCTCCACCGTGGCAAAAACTGCATGCAAGCCTGTACTGCCCTTAGTGAATTAGCAGGGTAATTAGCTAATCTATCAGAGCATTTCTAAGAGTCTTCTTAAACTCACTCATTAAATTATTATTTTGGAGAGCTATTTAAATAAAAATCGTTCTTTATATCATTCCATTCTCTAATCTTGTGCGCACTCTGGATAGCCTCCAGAGAGCCAACATCACTCTTCATCTTTGACTAGCGAGAAGTCTAGAATAAAGAATGAAAGCACTTGAAGAATATTTTTTCACCAAATCTCTATCCTTGTCAAGAAGATAGGATATAAATATGTTCTTGAAGTTGCTCTTAGTTAACTAATATTTTCTCTATTCTAAATTATAAGTCGCTTTGACTTTTTTTGGTACGTCGAATTTGCTGTGTATCCAGATATAACGTATGTCTAGATACATAACAAATTCGATGTACTAAAAAGTCAAAGTGATTTATAATTTAAAACGGGGGAAGTAGTTTTTTTACTAAGAGGACAATTAGCTTTGAGAGGGTGGTTAATAATTTTTATTAGCTATACTACCTCTATTCTCAAATAAAATTAATTTTTAGAGTTGTCTTAAATTATACTTTTTTATATTTGACTAAATTATAAAAGAAATGTGACAAGATTTATAGTATTATTACTATTAGTATCATTAGATACATAATAAACTATATTTTGGGGTAGTCTTCTTTGACTGAGAAATAAAAAAGGCTTGTCGGTTCGGCCAAAAAACAGTCGCACATATTTTTATTTAGATAAAAGTCCACATTATCTCCCTCGACTTTTACGAAAGTTTGCTTTTCCTTCTTGAACTTTAAAACCGGGTAAAACACCTCCCTGAACTTTTAAAACCGTTTGTTTTACCTCCCTGACCGGTTATAAGCGGTTTTCAAATGTGGTTTTTGTGGCAGAACCGCCCGAAATAGTACACTTACGGAGGCGCTCGTCTTCCACCAGACACTAAGCACCCCGAAAGCGTAATACTTCGAGCAGTTCCGTCGAGCACACCCCGAGGGAGAACTCGAATAATCCACATTTTTCCTTCAGGATCCAATAATGAGAACAAGTTTACAATATTTAGTCCATTTTATACAACAAGGGTTCTCAGAAATACATTATTACAATACTAAGTTTAGAGTACAGAATTTAAACAATGAAATTATAATAAACATCTAACGGTAGAATACATGGATCCATCTGTGCCCACCAGAAGAATCCTCCACACAATAGCTACTCTTCAAGCTGCACCTGCAACAAGGATAAGTAAACCCTGAGTACACAATATACTCACAAGACTTACCCGACTAGTGGGAATAATTTTCTGACTCCAAATGGTACGATAAGCTTTATGGTTTGCTGTGTTTTCTTTTTACGGAAAGCAATACTAATAATGAATCCTTATATATGTTTATTATTAGCAGTCATGTTTAGTTCATTATCTAACCATTCTATATAAGCACCTATTCTACTATCAAGCAAGAGTTGAGCAAACAGGTCCATTTCACCATCTTTCCTCTTTCAGTTCTTACTACAGTGCTAGATTGTAGACAAGCCGTACTGGATTATTCGACGATTCATGAATCAATGTACCCAACTGGGTACCCCGAAAACACACACCACGCCTATACCCCGGGCACAAGCCGGACCAACCCATCACTCTCCTGTCAAGGGGTCTAGGTCCCCGTCCAAACTTAGACTCCAAGCCCCCACACCATGAGTCCTGGACTCAGTGCGGTGCTTAGACCTTCACCATCCCCGCCTCCAATCAGTCGGTCTGAAAAGAGCCGAAACCCATGACAAGAGAGCAACGAGCCTTCCCTGCTCCCATAAATAAGTATGTGCTCGGAATAATAAGTCTGTGACTTGCCTAGAACCCAATGCAACGGCCGGTCCTTAACTGACACGAACAGGAAAAACTAGTGTAACCAGGCTATGCTCCGTTGGCCACGAGACACAACCTATTACACCCACCAATACCCATACCATATCCCTGCCCGATCTCCATTTTTCCTTTCACCATTTTATCATGAGAGTGATAATAATAATCACCTATTGTGAGTAACGGCAGGTTACTCACGCTACCGAAAAACCTAAGTATAGCACCTACTCGCCCTAAGCTAGTAGGACTCATAGGTAGATATATCAATGCATGTAGTTTCTATAAAATGCCTGTAACGTAAATGCATATCATATATATATATATATATATATATATATATATATATATATATCAGTGCTTATTCAAAATAAGGGTTATGCACCGGGGCTTGCCTTGGGCGGCGAGGTGTCAGCAAAGTCAGTTGATGGTGGCTCCAGGGCTCCCTCCTGTACGAGAATCTCCCCCTCGTACTCTTCAATTACTTCCTCGTACTCTTGCTCACCCGTGGTCTCAAACTCTACCACATCGTTATCTACATACATGAAATGATGATACAACACTTGGTAATACGGCAACAGCAACTCTTAAAATAAGAATACATCTACCAAGCTAACTCTAATGATTAAGAAGCTAAGCTACCCATCCTTTCCACTAAATAGGTATGAAACATTCGAGTATTATCTTAGCAATCAAAAATGCATTTCTTACTTTATTTATGATTTCATATATACTAAAACAAGGAGTACTTAACTACCCTATTTATCAAAATATTCTAAGGCTACAAAAATTACAGTGAGCACATAATAATACAATGAACTTACTGTAAAAATTTTATGGTCAAAGCTATTACCAATTTGCCACAAAAATTCCTACAAATATTAATCTAAATAATGCTAAATTTTCCTAAATGAATTAATGAACCTAATATTCACACAGATAACTGTAAACTAACTACACCAACAGATAGATCACATTTTTATGAATCTAACAAATTTTGTTTCACTATTTTTGGACACCTATAAATTTTACTATAATTTTTCAATGATCAGCTCAAAACTAAATTAGAAAAGCATTTGCTAATTTGCTGGAAAAAGGAAAACCAATCCTTGCGTAGCGCGTGCGCACGTGCGACCCGCAGACGCGGGCCACGCGGGACGCGGGCCACGCGCGCAAATGGCCCGCGACGGGAGAGCCCGCGCGCGTCGACCAACTTGCAAAAACGCCCCTAAACTCTAGACAAACTAACCCGCAGTCCATGTCACTATTCCTAGAGAGACCAAATATGCAACAAAAACCTCGGACACACCCTCCTTTACAACGGCATGGTCCTCAGCCTCCCCCGCGCGCGCCGGCGTAGCGGCGATGGCATTGGACGGCCACGCCAGCCAGCTGAGACCCGCGCTGGCTCCACTAACAGGCCGACACCCGTCTACAACCCTAGCGCCTACACTAGCCTAGGTTACAAGAGCGATGGAGCTCGCGGAAGTGGCGACCACGGCGCGTGGCCATGCGCGACAGTGGCACAACCATGTCGACCAGCCTCAGCCACCGTGGGGAGAGCTAGCTAACGCTATGGCATCACTATCATACCTAGGTTGCGGCTGTGCTGATGTTTTGGCTGGGGATTCCTCGAACCGGGCTGGCCACGTGCGGGTGGTGGAATGCGGCGGCGCTCTAAGACGGCGAGGTCGAGTCAGCGGCGGGGTGGAGCTGGTAGCGACTAAACCAAGGCACGGATGACAAAGAGGAAGGCAAGGCATACCTACAAGCGTGGGCAATTAGGCTCGGGTGGAGAGATGGGAGGCCTACCCTCGGTCATGGCCGCGGCGCGGCCTTAATGGCATACCAGTGGAAAGAAGCCAAATTGGCGCCTGGCCGAACCGTCATAAGTCGGTGAGGGGTCGAACGACGAGGAGACGTGAGGGCAGAGGTGCGGACGAGGTGAATTGAATAGAGGTGACTTATCTTTGGCGCACTCATGGGCGCAAGGCGACGATGGCGGCAGAGAGAAACAAAGGGGAAAGAGGAAAAGAGAGAGACGGTGCGACAGTGGGCTCGGCTCGTCCACGCCTTGGCGGGACGTGAGCGGTGGGACCAGGAGGCCCACACGTTGGCGCTAGCTGACGGACGTGCGCGGCCGACCGACGTGGCCCGTGCGACCATAGTGCCATATAATGGCATAGCGACGACGGCGCGCCCATGTGCACGCGACATCCAACTTGGCCAGCGATGAGGAGCGGGCGCAACAGACAGACGTGAGCTCGACGGATGGGATGACAACACCAGCGACTGAGATGTGGCACGAGGAATAA